TCTCAGCAGTAGGCGGTTTTACTTTCCACATATTTCTTTGGGAATCACAGTCATAGGAATGAGAGCTAGACGGCATTACACCTGAACGTCAACCCTCGTCCTTTGACCTAACCATTGAGGACAACCTCTGGAGGATGCATACATGCATGTGCCTCAGATGCTGCTCTCATAAGAAGGCGCCGATGTTTGGAATAAACCACCTGCCATAAAAGCCCCTTATGTTTGTTTTTTTACTGTGTGTAGAGTATGTACATTGAAAAGACGTTGCCTGGGAAATTTCTAAAGACCCATTTATAGTCCTAAGGACACACCTCGTAGAATTCTGTAGCAGTCTTAATCACGGATACTCAACAGAAACACGAGCCTTTCACATGTTTGAATTTTTCTTTAAGACACCAGCAAAATAGTTTTACCCGAAGTCTGCCTGGAAGCCGGAAAAAAGACCTTCGTCACCATCTTTGCCGAACCCCGCGAATTTTCGCCCTATGCTTCAGTTCTTTTTGCCGACGTAAGTTCCATTTCGCACTTTGCAAGCTATTTTGATGGCCAAGTCATTGCGAACTGCAGACAAAAATTCAGTCGACAACAAATAGCATATTTGACTTCTTATCATGAAAAGGGACGTGGGAACAGAAAGACAACGCCCAGGACCCCTTTCGTACTGAAGTCAATGGTCATGGTAGAGAAAACGATGAGATGCAATGATCGATTTTCGCTTTTTTTAAAGAAATACAGCTGGAGAAAGCACTCTAGAGTCAGCATTTGTTATTTTATTTGCAGATTGAAGGCATTGGTTCGGAAACTCTAATCACCTCGTCAAAAACGCACATGCTTTGCCTTCAAGATTGATCAGCATGGACATTAAAGCTAACTTCTCACAACAGCGTCATATTAACTCAACTTTTCAGATAAATCTATTATCTCTAAAACTGCGCCTAGAAGGTGGCCGTCGCATAACTAAACTTGCGACCTGTAAATTCAGACTGCTAGCCTAGCATAACTATCCATAAACAATCTGACTAAAGTGCAGCCCTTGTTTATATCGGTCTATGCAGATAACGTTCCGACCTTTTGTATGACAAATAAGGCCCTTTAGTAGTCGAGTGAGACATCGCGAAACTTGACAAACTCTTGAAACTAGACTCGACTTAGCAGTGTGACCCTTTAAAACTTTATGTTAGAAACCAACACGGAAGCACACACGCCTCCTACTCCTTCTTCTTCTTCTTCTTCTTCTTCTTCTTCTTCTTC